ATAGGTACAATATGGTCATCTGAATATGATCATCAAAACATTAAGACAAACCATCATCTGCGGGAAGATTGTATTCACAGTGTTTTAAACAGTTTTCAGTAAAATCAGAAGTAACAGAATAGTAAAAAACAACATTCTTAACAGAATAGTAAAAAGCGACAAAAGCCTTTTTATTGAAGTGAGAAAAAAGAGATGAGTTAAGTACGGATTGTTCTTTAAACAAAGAGACATCAGTTTGTCTGAATTTCCCCAGAACGACTGGTGAAACAAGATCTTCATCAAATTTCACAGTCGATGGGAAAGTACTCATAGAAAATCTAAAAGCTGAGCAGATAACATACTTCAAACATAATTGATTTTCAACAAAAGCAAATACTGCATTTATTTTCCATTTATCACTCGTTTTACATTAATCATACGGAAGGTTTACATAAAATCCAAACTGTCAGATGATGAAATCCTGTTATATGATGTTCTAATATGATAATTATAATAGGTTAGAAATGCTTTAGAACTTTTTTGATACTTACATATTATCCCACTGACTATGAAATTGTTGCCAGGCAGTGCGATTTGGCATCAATTACGGATAAGCATGATATAACACTCTTGTAACATCTATGCTTTCATTTGATGAAATCCAGACTGTTTTTATGAACAAAGCTATAAATTAACTGTTATTGGTGTATTTTTCCCTTACAGTTTGAAAAAGAACGAATTCAAGGGCTGCAGAATCACATTTGTGACCTAACTCCTATTCAGTTACAGCTGGTCGAAAAAATTAGCATCTGTTGAAAGGAGAAAAAACAGCTTGATAGGGCCAACAAAGAAGTAATATATATTGGAAAAAATCACCTATGCAAAATATGTATGGATAGTGCTTTAATCAGTAAAATTGAAAGGCATAGCAAAATAATAGAAATCGACAAAAACCTATTTAAGAAGGACAAAAACGAAGTTTGTTGAATACTTTTGTAGCAGTACCAATTAGGTGAATTGTGTAGAAAGACTGAAGATGTTTTATTTTAAGAGCTGCAACTAGAAGTGTGGCTCAGAATTCCACATGTACAACTGGTATAACTGTGGAGGGATACCTGCCAGCTTTCATAGTTCGATGTTAGTCAACTTCCACTGCCGATAAGATAATTTACAAGTACCTTTTTTTATTATTACCACAAAAATTATTTTTCTTTGTTAATTTAAAAAATCCAATATGCTATTTTTATATAAAATTAAAATCTTGTTTAAAATAAATTAGCTCTGCAATATATCTGAAACATACAAGCAATTTGTGTCAAAGTTCTTTGAAGGCTTAAATAATGAAAATGTCTACACTGAAGAAACATTTACAAGCTGAACAAACTTGCATTTGAAAAATACTACTTTATGACATAATGGCTATTTTATCTCCATCAACAACAAATTTTATTTGATGAAACTGAGTAACCCAGCCAGCAATTTATAAACATTCAGCAATAATAAGAGCAAAATTAATCCTGTTATACTCAAAGCTTAAGATTTTATGGAGAGTTCAGATAAAAGGCAATCAGAAATATAAATGTAAAAAGTGATCATGTCAGTTATCTGTTTAGCATCTTAAAACACAAAGTATTGACAATAAGACATGACGGAAATAATTGTCACAGCCTTGGATTCAAATCCCAGACAAGGCATGGATGCTTGCAAGTGTACAGTGTCTTTGTTGCAGTGGGAGCATTTAGCTTAGCATTATTGTAAAGCCAAAAATCTTCTCGGGATAACAACAGAGTGAGAAAGGTGGAATACCCCGAGATACATCTTTGCGGTGTTCTCCTTCAAAATCTAGACGCAGTTTCTCCTCTTATGAATGTGAAATTCATCACCCAATGAAAGAACTGCAAGAGCATTCTCAGTGATGAAACTGTTAAAATGGCCAACGAGTTTAGTCGTAGTTTCTGGCAAATGCTGAATTATGAAATATCTGGTGACTGGAGGAAAAATTCATAACCTATGATATCTAAAAGTATTTTTTAAAATAAATATACTGTTAGGATACAGCCTGCTTTTTTTGAGGGGAACAATGAAAAGAATAATTGATAATTTTTTTTCCCAATGGTAGCCCCTCAGCCAACTTCCACTTGGCCACAACTAAGGCCAGACGTGGTAGTCACTTTTATTATGGAAACACTTAACAGGTGGAGTTCCTTTGCCTCCTATAAAGGGACAGACAGTTACAACCACGCCTTTTCCGGGATTCAAGCCAGGCCCTTTGGTATCGCAGTCAGGTCCCCTAACCACTATACCATCTGGACAGCATTTGATAAACTCTAGAATAATGCACTGGTACACAAGAGTAATACAGGGGATCTTGAATTTTATAATTATATTACTGTAGAAGTCTTCAGGTTTCAAAATAAGTACTACCTATGAATATCTATTATAATATATTCGACTCATCACAAATGTATTCTGCAAGGGGATATATCTCCAGACTAGAGTTATTTAAATCTTTTCTAATGAATTTCTCATTTTTACGATAAAGAGAAGTAGAATTTTTTATGATACTACCATAATTTTTAAATCAAATGCAGTACACATATTTAAATTTTAAACTGCAATAACTGCTATTTATCGTGATGTTGAATATAGAAAATAATGATCAATGCCAGCAAATTAAATAAAGCATCTTCAGAAAAGCTAAAACTTGTTCAGAAATAAACATGAACTTACAGTGAAACAATCTTAAGTACAATTACAAACTTGCTTAAGTTCTAAGTTATTTTTGTCCTGTAATGATAATCATCTCAGAAAATTATTTCCAACTCTGATATTTATGCTCAGAGAAATATTAGTATCAGAAATGGTCATGCATGGAAATGATAGATTTCATCATATTAAAAATAAATTGCCAAGCTATAAGATAAAGGCCACTGTGTAATTTAGGAGATAAACAATTTATGAATGTAATTATTTAAAAATCTGAATTTAATAGAAATTAGAAGACTGCTGACTATTTCAATGATTCAATATGCTGTATCTCAGCATGAATCAGCAACAGCAAAAACCTATCACTGGATTATAAAAAGCACAAAATAAAATTATATAGACTGATATCAATATTCTGTTAAAAACGCATGGTTCCACAATGACCTCAAACATATTCCTGTTAAAACATCAACTTTATACTGATAATTAAATTTAAAAGGATGCATACAAATTTAACTATAAAATGAAAGAATGAATTTATAGTTTTATGAATCTGTGAAAAATACAGTCTAACTGACAATATAAAATTAAGATAAGTCAGCATGATACAAATGAATAACTCTACAAGATAACAAGATACCTACTATATTAAAATCTCATCTTCCTTCAATAGAAAGTAAAATTGTGCTTATTAGATAAACATTTAAACTTCCTACATATTTAACTGCTCAAATATATAATTTAAATCATATACAGCCAAAAAATATAATTATAGTAGTTGAAATTTAGTAATATGTAATTTAATATTCAGAAAACTTTTTTAAAAAAGTAAATTTGTACAACAAACTATTCTAATATCAATAATAAAGAAATAAATACAAAACAAGATGAATGTTAATTTTTTTTCTTTTATATTTTACATGAAATTAAAAATTCTGTAATTGTATACCAAAGATCCATGGCTATAATTTAAAAAAACTAAAAATTAAAATTGTACATTAGTTCCTTGGGTAAAATTTAATTCTTTGTCTAAAAATTATCAATTACACAGGAACTTCAGAACTAGTCATTTACAACTTCCGAATGAACGCTTGTAGCTGAAGAAAATACGAAACACAAGTTACATTTATAAAAATGACTATCTTTATTAAATATTTTACAGTAAATATAAAAAAATTTACATTAAATACATATTGAAAGCTAAACTGAAAAATAAATATTAATGGATACTTAGTCAAATTTTACAACACAGATGGCAACAACTTGTCTTTTATATTCAATTTATTGTTCAAAAAATGAATGACTTATCATTTCTTGCCTTAGCTTTCATTTTATAATACACTATTACTTCAGTGACATTTTTGGATGTACATTTCCTAACTGAAAATTTTTTCTTAATATTTGCCAGAAGAATCTTTCGATTTAAAAGTTGAAAAGCAGTAAATATAGCATGCACTCTACACTAAGACAGGAACATATAAATTTAGCTGTTTTGAATGCTTTAATAATATATTAAATAAAAGGGGTAGACATTTTAAATACACTATCTATTTTTTGTATAAAGGATGAGAAACAAGCAATTATTCTTCTCTCTGAATTGTCCATAGTAGATACAAAAATTGCTCACCACATTAAATACTAATTTGTGGCAAAATTTTATTTGCGTTTTGGCAGAACACAAATATTAATTATTCTTCCATGAACGAAACAAAAACAGTGAACAATTTGCTTATTAGAGATGCTAAAACAAAGCTAACTTATACCTGAAAAACTGAATTCTTTAAAAAATTCATAATTAGAACATAGATTTTACTCTAAATGGCATTTTACAATGTAGGTTATATTTGCAAAAACCACAAAAATTATTCAAATTTAAATGACGAAACGACAAATTTTAGCTACCAAAAACTCATATTCAAAATATATTAAAAGTGTAATGAATAAAACATTAAATATAAAACATCCTTTTTCCACCGAAATCGAACAACTTTCTATTAAATGTCTAAGGGGGCGGTACTAGTTCGCGCATGTTGGTTTAGAAATACGTAATGCAAAACAAGCTGTAATACCGCAAGAATAAAAAAAAGATATATTCAAAATCTCCACTAAATACATATCACTCCAAAAGGTACAGGTATTTAATTTTTAGTTGAATAAGATATAAATTAATTACAGGAATATAAGAAGCTCATTTCGTAGCTGTCACTTTTCATACTTAAATAAATAACATTAAATACTATTTTAGCGAAGCCACAATCATTTTTCACATAAGGATACTTAATGCTAATATAATATCCTATTTTAAGCATACTTACAATCTAAATGTTTCTTTTTTGGTCCTATTATTTCTTCAGTCGTAGCCTTGCACACTATCCTAGCTAGCCCTTGTCCAGCAAGAGCATGCCTTGCAGCTGTTAATCTGTCATTTAAAGTTTGTCCCGACATTTCGAAATTTAGTTTTCTTTATGTACAAGTGAATAAGGGGGGTATTGAGACCCCGTACCCCGAACAAAACACACCAGCGGGAGACTCAGACACCACCGGCACTTCTCGTCATCGACTGTTACGTGTAGTCTACCTAGTGGCAATCACAAGATGGCGGAAAACATCAAGTCTATTCTAGGGTTAATAGTTTAAATGTAATCTTGTCGCCAAACCATCGCCAATGGCACATTTTAAAAACAAAATTATATTAAAACGAAACCAGAGAACACAAAAGAAAACTGATTACTGTAATAAATAAAAATTATCTGAAAATGCAAATTTGCAAAGGATATCTAGAAAATTATAAGTACAAAAATTAGAAAAGTAATCATGCTGTATATATTTTGTTCCCTTAAGCTAAATAGGATTGCTTAAAAAAATTATGTGTAAAAGACACGTTCTTTTTTTTTTAATTATTGTATCTTATTATTAAAAAGAATACATAAGTCCTCTTATATTCTTATTAGTTTTCAACGTAAAGTATGCTTTTTTATGTTTTGAACAGATGTGAAAATTGCAAAGTGAAACTAATGCTTATTTGTATGTTTTCAGCAGCTGTGTTTTCCATTAAAAGCTGGTTTTATCTCTCATAAATGAAAAATGAAATTTACTTTAATAAACACGATTGCTAGAAACATTCATATTTATCTTATATGGCAACCCATCCACGAAGAGAGGTAGCCAATAAGAAGTCGACAGTAGGACGCAATGGTCAGCGCCTGGTTTCGTTCGATCTGCATGAGCGTTAATCTCGAAAGCAAAAGTACACGCCCACCTTTTCTCTTCTGCTAGGTTTAGTTGCAGAAATCATTCAAGCGCGCAGGTTTTCCGAAATGCGCGGGTATTTCGTTCTTTGAGAAAGACTATAATCTCATTCTCAGGTTTGTAATTGAAATGTACGCAGAAATTTTAAACTGAATTATTCAAGAAGGCCATAGTATCTGAAATTCTTAATCTTTTTTAAGTATTTGACCGTTAAACACAAAGAAGTAGATTTATTCTGAAAGTTTTGATTTGACTTCATGTAAATTTATAGTTCGCTATTTAGAGTATTCTCCTAATTTACAATGGAATGCAAAACGACAGGAAATGCTCCAAAAATTATAATATGTTTTGTTGTTATTAGATTTAAGGCATGTGCAACTGTGTGCTCTAAGGCATGTGTGATTGGATCATACTCAGATCCGGTATTTAATGATAATGATTTGAAAAAATAAGATCATTAACGACAATTAAATTTCATTTCGAAGATTATTTCAATTTTAAAAGCTAAAGCTTGAGTTTCTGTGTTTCATTTTTAAATATAAGAAGGTGAAAACAGAAGAACATAAAAATATCGTTACAAAATACATTACCGTTTCAGCAAGGAAAAAAGAAAAGAAAAGAAAAAATAATTTTAAAATCTGAAAGGTTTCAGATTTTAAATTACGTCCAAATAGGCGTTTTTCTAATATTTTGTGTATTACCTTTATTTATTAAAGATTATATTCTTCGCCCGTAAACCATAAAATTCAGTTCAAGAGCACTACCGCAAAATAATTTTAAATTGAGCATATCTTTAGAATTTCCAATATGCAATCTCACGCGCTGGAGATAAAAATGATTTTTATGTACAACGTTGCCATTTCTCGCTTTGAAATCGTCTAGTTTTTTTAATCAAAAATTCGTTAAAGTTTACAAAATGAAAAGATAATAAGACAATTTCAATTCAAATTAGGGCTTCCACACGCCCATATTCTATGGGAATATTACGTTATCAATTTGATGGCTCTAGGTACGGTTGTTTTATCACAATGCGAGAAACATATATACATTTATGCAGATTCTTCAGTATTTAATTTATTCACATATAATACAGAGCGATAATATTTAGTGGCAATGACTTGAAAAGTGATACAGCCTTTTAAAGGTTTCAACATAAAATCGCAAAACGAAAACAATAGTTTTTCAAGGCAAATTGCCCCTTTTGACAAAAAATTAAGGAAAGGACTACATTGAGAATTGTAATCGGTATATTACAAATTTTACAAGAATTTCTATCACTGATAGAGTATTTTATTTTTAATTCAAAGCAAAGAAGGACATATGATGCAGCGTTAAAAATCTCTTTTCTTAATTTTAACACTGATTATTAACATTTCCTGTAAAATATTATTAGGAAATAAAGTGATTTAAAATGATTCAGTTAATTACACAGACGAGCAAAGCACTTTTATAATGTGGCACATAAGTAAAAGATCTTAGGTCTTATTGATTAGCATCAATTCGCTATTATGTCGAAACACGAAGTTTAATATTTTGTGGGAAGAAAACAATAACACTTGATTTAAATTGTTAAAAGTTTTCTTTTTGTTAGCAAAATCTCAGATAATGGAGGTGAAGAAGTTTAAGATTAAGAAGTTTTTAAATGGTGAAAATGCTAATAAGGGAACTATGTTTTATTTAGCTTTAAAAAAAAGGCATTTTGTTCTTATATCCGAATAACTTTTCATATAAAAGTATGCTGCCACCAAATGCTATCATCACGCATCATCAAAAATAATAATAATAATAATAATATAGTAATTGAAAAAAAGAATTGAAAAAAAGAATGGCAACACTTAACACTCTATCCGGAATTCTAAAGATATGCTGTTTTTAAAAATTTTTGTGAGTTTGCTGTTAAATTTTATACAGCTTAACTACGAAGAAAGTCATAAATAAAGTTGAAAAGTAAAAAAGTTAGCGATAAAAGACAAGGAAGTTGTATAGGTCATCTTGTTAAGAAAAATTGAACATTGATATGATGAAGTGAGAAAAACCTGAAAAATATATATATATGGGAACATTTAAATCTCTATCTGGAATACCAAAAATATGCCGCTGTTAAAAATTTTGTAATTTTGCCGTTAAATTTCATGTGGCATAAGTCGAAGGCAGCGATGTTTAATGATAAAAAGAAAAATTTGCGTTAGCTGGAGTGAGTCCAAGAGTAGATTGGTAAACTGCGAGCTCAACGAGAACATAAGAAACATTAACAAACCCTCTGGTGCGACGTTAAAATCTAAATCCGTTTTTAATAAACATATATATGTAGAAACATTTTAATAAATATATATAGACGAAAAGTAAAAAATTTAGCACTGGTTTTACACAAAGACCCCCAAAAAGTGATTTCAGAATATCCTATAAATATGCAAAATAAGAAATGGGAAATTAAAACCTAAAAATTATAAAACCCTAAATATACCAATATCAGAAAAATAAATAAAAAAGAGGAATTCAATTAAATATGATGTAACGTTATCAAAAGGAGGATAGACTCAATAACAATTCTCCTTCCACATGAAAACCGTTGCTTTTCTGTATTGAGTACTTATGTTTTTAAATAAAGAATTTTTGTGATACTTAATAAATAAATATAGAGAGAGAGACACAGAGAGAAACAAAAAGTAAAATGCATAGAGGTTTTGATACTGTTTGGCTTGGAATCAAGATCATTAGCTAATATCTTAAGCTTTTTAGTACACCTCTATTGAATTTTCTCAGAGATGTTTATTGATTTTATTTCTGCAATTTCTTGTCAAAACAGCAAATATTTGCCTCAAATGCCAATGAGATACATTCCGATGACATCCGAGATCACGTGACTTATGCGTAGCTAATGTAAACAAACCATGCAGATGACCTCAGAGATCACATGACTTATGTATAGCTAATGTGAATAGCAAGGTCATTCTTCCTCTTCTTCTCTTGCGGAATGTATTTTCTGTTTTCTGGAATTTTTGGTAATATTTTCTGGCAAAATATTGGCATTTGAGGCAAATATTTGCTGTAAGCTTCGTATGCAAACGTCCAAGTGAAAAAAAGCTAAACCTTGAGCAATACTGTCTTTTCTTTCTTAAGTAGGCCCAATATTGAACGAGAAAATAATATTATAGTTTCTTAAGGCGGTATATTTGCCTTTGGTATTTTGAACAATTCATTTTAAGTATAAGGTCTTATATTATTATATAGCTTTAAATTCTCGAAGACTAAATTTTAAACGAGTAACTGATTAACTTAAAACTACTTCAGGTGTTAAATTTAAATCTGCGTGACAAGATCAAAAGGAAATTTCTTTTTAATCTTACGGCTTTAACATTTTAAAATATTTTAAATATGCGTTTTTAACTTTTTAAAACTTTAATTTTAACCTAGCTAGAGCTAGCTAGAGGACATTATGCTAAATGTCTGTTATTTTTTGCTGAGAATGAAAAAGGGACATGCTCATGATAATTTTCTTCGGATAAGTATATTTTTATAAGGTGGAATATTAATTTTGCCTTCAAATGGCTTTTTTTTTAAATGAGTTTTCAACCGCAGCAAATGCTGATGGTGATGCTGGATTATGGGAGATAAAAACTGTGCAACGCCACAAAAGGATTTCGTTCCACATTTGAGAAATGAATATTTTGAGCATTGAATAAAAATGCATATTCTGCAGACAATATTTGATGAGACAGATCTTGTTTAACAAATGATTTAATTCATAATTTCATTATGTTAAAAATCAGTTTTGATAATCATATCGTTATTACTGCAGTTGCATAAAGTCTTAACAAGTAAATTACGAATGTTTGCTGGCTTCATACATTCCACTCTTAAAAAAAAAATCTGTGGAGTCGTTAGGTTTTTTTTATGGTGGAGACATGAAAAATATGCAATGTCATCTCCGGAACTGGAACCCGGACCTCTCGAATACGCGCCGAGTGTGCTAATCTTTATACCACGAAGGCTTGCAGAAAGGAGGGAGATAATACCTTATATACTACCCCCTTTTAAAGAGCGACTGGGGATTAGCGGACACAATTGCCAAATCCTGGTGGTGAAGAATCATCATCCACCACCTTTTTAGTTCGGGCCGAAATGTAGAGTTATTAGGATAATATTTTGAAGCAGGAAAAACGAAAAATGAGCATTGCCCTATCCGAGATTCTAGCCTGTACCTCTCGAATATGCGACGAGTGTGCTAATCGTTATATCACGAAGACTTGCAGGAAGGAGGGAGAAAATACCTTATACACCCCCCTTTTATAGGGCGACTGGGGATTAAGGGACCCAGTCGAAGACTCTTGCT